GCCACCAGAAGCTTCCAGGGCCCGCCCCCTCCCGCTGCTCGGGAGAGGACTGGCGAGGGACGCGGGCCCGGCCGCACAGGCGCACACGGCTTGGCCGCCCACTGCGGAACTACGTGTGCTGGCCGACTTGGCGGCCACCCAATTTGGATGACGTCTACGGATGGGTGGCGGGAGGAGGGCGGCTTTTAGTGGCTGGAGAGGAGCTTTTTTACTCCCCGAGAAATGTGCAGTTTGGAGGAGTCCTGCTGGGGTTCCTGGAAGCCAGGTCCTCGCATCGCGCACAGTGATACTTGATTATAAGGGGCCCTACCCACACCCAGGGGCTGAGAACAGAAAGCTACCACGAGCCGGTGAGATGGCTCTCAAGAACAAAGCAAACTCACGGCCTCCTAGTCCATGCAGACTCATAGGACAGGGTCAAACATGATTTCCAACTGGAGACCTTGTCCTTGGTGAGAGGAGAGATGGGCTATTTACGTAGTGCACTAAGTCCAGCAGTGCCCTCGATTGTACCTTTGTAATAGCTGACTTTTAGGAACCGCAGCTTTCAGCATATGTGCAAGGGATACCTGACATGCAGCAAAATAGAATTCTCATGCATACAATCTGAAATGCGAAGACGTGCCACGCACAACACTTTCTCAAACAGAAAAAGAAGGGAGGAAGATTGATGTTAAATGTATACTTCCGAGGTTTTTACACGTTTTATCATGGAATGAAATGTCCATTTCACAAAGAACATATACTGGTTCTCTTCCCTGGTCAGTAACTTTATGACATCAATTCACTCTTGCGCCGACAATAGAAATAAATTTCTATTCAAAAGTTACAAACTTTGATTTTCATAATAAAATCAACATGTAGAATCCACATATGTGTACATATATATATATGATATATAAACACTAGTTTTATGAGTGGGAGGTGTTGGGGAAATAAAAATTATCATTCCAACCCAGAAAGTCCACTCCACAAATGTAGAAAAGAATGAAATGGTTGTATTTTCCCATAAAGATTATACCAGAGTGTGATGTACGTCACAGGCAATCCACAAAATGTTCTGATGCGTCCTTAAAATTTTAGAAAGAAATACCATATGATCTAGCAATCCTTCTGTGTAGTATAAATCTTAGGGAAATAAGAGCCATGGTACGAATAAATACTTGCACGTCTGTGTTCATTGCAGCATTGTTCACAATAGCAAAAGATCTAAACGTGCTCACCAGTGGAAGAATGGATACACTATGGAATACATACACAATGGGATCCTACTCAACATTAAAGAATAACAGTGAATCTGTGAAACAATTCATAATATGCATGAAGCTGGAGAACAATGTGTAGAGTTAAATTAGTCAATCACTAAAGGATAAAGATTGTATGAGTCCACTATTGAAAAAAGTCAAGAAAAGGTTTTCACAGGAAAAGAAACATTTGTAGTGTGATAGGTTGTTCTTTTTCTCTTTTAGAAAATGATTTAAAAAATAGTTTTATTGGCATATAATTCATGTATACACCATTTAATCATTCAATCATATTAAGAAGAGTTGTGCAATTATCACCACAATTTCAAAACACATTTTTCTCATTAGCTCCCCAAGTCCCCCAAACCTCCCCCACTATGCCCCTAGGTAATTATTAATCCAGTTACTGTCTCTATTGATTGACCTATCTTGGTGCAGAAAATGATACAAAACACAAGCAAACAAATAAAGCCCACCAACAACGACAAAACAAAATGGAGAAAAACATAATTCAAAAAGAAAGAAAACATTAAAAATGAAAACAAATGGGTTCAAAGGGGGATCAAATGATAAGATGTTGCATCTTAACCTAACTACGTCTGCCATAATCAACTTTACAATACTCTTTGTTTGATAGCAACATTTTTCGCATCCTTGGACGGTCGTCAGAGGGAATTCACTGGAGGCTTAATTCATG